AAAAAAAAAAAAAAAAAAACACAGGCATAAAAGTTGGGTTGGGCAATCCCTAGAGCTCTTCCTCATTCACAGTGTTCTTCTCAACCACTTGCACAGCTACAGTCACAGGGATCCATGTTTCTCCACAGAACGCTGGTTTCTCTATGAGTGACACATAACTTTTAAATAAATCCAAAAAGAAACTAAACGGTTACCACTCGGGTCAGCTCCTCCATCGTGAGGTAGAGCCTGGTTTCAACTCTTGTTTCCAAAGATTTGTTCATTTCTGGCACCTTTCCACGTCACCACAATCACTTGGCACTCATTGTTAAGAGGAGTTTTCTGGTGCTTCTAGAATCTTTGTCTGGCATGTTCATTATGTTTTTAGAAGGTCTTGCTATGTGTAACTGGCTGGCCTTGAACTCACAGCAATCAATTTCCCAAATGTTAGGATTGCAGGTGAGTGCCATCACACCCAGATTTCTGGAACTTTCTCCACTGTAGGTACCTACTCTGTAGGGACAAGTATTGGTTTTTATATTTGTACATGAGCAGGAAATAGCAATTACTGGGGGAAAAAAAATGACTGCAAGATGTTCTTAACTTCAAGCTCCATGTACTACCAGAGCGCAAACAAGGAATACATGGGGATTAAAGAAAGCAGAAAAGGAGTTAATACAGATTTTGTGAGCTTCTAATTTATAAAACAATTTTTATTGTGAGGCCCCACCCTCGGCTGAAGAGCTACTGACAGTTGATGGCTTTTAGAGCGAGAGAGTTGGTTTGTCTTAAGGATGTGGTCCTGGGTATGTCCATCATGCTACAGTGGGTAGCCCCGTCCCAGGAGTATATAAGCATGACAAATTGGTCCTTATGGGTTTTAAGGAGGGGGTCACAAATTGGGAGGATGGGTAGAAGTGGGGGATGAATATTATCAAAATATGTTATGTGAAATAACCAAAGAACTAATAGAAACATATTTTAAAGAGCAGTTATCTGTAGAATATCTATAGCTTTCTCTTTATTCCTTGGATATATAGACATACATTTACACGTTTTTGTACGTTTATAGAAAAAGATTTCGCAAAGCAAGTTACAGGAAAATCTTTATATCTTTTTTACATTTTTTATGTAAGCAAATATGTTCTACCAAGTCACCAATGCAGAACTGGGGCTGAGGAATGAAGTGGAGAGTAAAGAAAATAAAAGGAACTTTAGCTATATTTACTCTGTATATAAGTTATTTATAGCTATGGAACTCTGACGGGTGAACTTGTTACAAAGTGCCATGACTCGTGATCCTAAATTTTACACAGACACAAAAGTGGATCACTCTATCACAAGGCATATCACATAGTCACTACGAATATGACTAACTTAAGGTTTGAAGGATATATGTGCTCGATGTTCAAACTAAATCTGAAAAGTAAACAGGAAAATTCTGCTGGGCCCAGTGCCATGCAGTTTATCAATCACAGAAAATATGTCAACAAATTCAAAGGTACTTCAAGATGCACTTCAAGTTCACTGAAAACTTTTGATTCTCCTCCCTACTCAACATTTAACCCTAACCCTAACTCTCATCAGTAAGTAATGGTTCACTTGTTTTAGATACAATAAAAGTTCTCCTGCATGGCTAATATAGAAAGAGAAATATATGTAAGCAATGCATAAGAGACAGGTAAAGCAAAGTAACTAAATTGTGATCAAATAAATGAAAACTTCATTGTCAGGAAACACATGCTTCCTAAGTGATACAGAGATAAATTGAAATGAGACAGTATAGACACCACTCACAAAGACTGAAACTATATATTCTGATATAACAGGCAACTTTTTTAGATGACTAACATTTTAGCTTCCTAAGGAAATCTATGCCTAGAATCCCTAACATACTTTATTTCAAGAACTATGGAGGCAACAGTACTTCAGATTTGGGGATATCTCTCTTTCCTAACAATACAAGTCAGTTTTCAAAAACTAAATGGATAAAGTGAAATGGAAGAGCAAGGCATGAGCCTTCAAAAATATTCATATGATGAATATCCACATAAGGCAATATGAATATGTATGCAACAGAACTGTGTATGCCTTAGATTTTCAGGTGCTCTTTTCTTCATCCAAGGTGCACTTCCTAATTAACTCATTAACAGTCATGTCCCAGAAGTAGCGGTTCAATATATTAATCAGCCTGCTGAAGCGAGGAAGTAGCCTACTTTCCTTAATAACAACAAATACTTATACAATAATAGCAATTCACACAATAATAACAAATCAGTAATAATAATGATGAACAACTATTCATACAATTTAAGAGCATGTTCCTTCACTGAATAATGCCCTACTGTTATATACCATTGTGCAGTATTATCACAATTGTAAGAATAATGACCAATGACCATTCACACAATAGAATGCAATAGACTCAGCAACATAGATAAAACTAGACACGGGCAACAACATGGATGAATCTCTGTAACACTAGTATGGGAAAAAGGAGACAAACAAAAAATATATGTGAGACTCCATTTCCACAAAGCCCAGCTAATCTAAAATAAACATGAACCTAATCACAATCAGAAAGCAGCTAGACTTAGAGTTGAGAGAATAGCAGGCAGAAAAGGAAAAAAAAATGGGGAGGGGTGTTGGAGGGGGCTGCAAGAATGATTAAAATGTTCTACATCTTGCTTTATATAGTGGCTATATGGATGTATGAGGCTGTCAAAAAAAGCATCAAACTGAACACAATAGCTGTGTGTTTTATTGTACATAAATTACATCACAACAAAAACATGTGGTTTTAAATTTAACTGTTCAACAGTGATTTGCCAAAGTAATGTTCTTGAATTCAGGGGGAAAAAAATACATTTTAGACAGAATAAATCATTTGATATTTAAACTTTCCATTACAGCTGAGAAATAAGCAGCCACAGATGTGTGTTTACAGAACTGTGATAAAAGCTAAAGGAAGGGTAAACGGGCATCTCAGCTCACGGCAGACAGACCCCCGGGGAAGCCATATAGCACAGCACACTGTTGACAGCTTTACCACAGGGTCCCCTTACCCAGAGGACCTTTGGGGTCACTTATCTAAAGGGGACTTTCAATGTCATGAAGTACAAGTGCCTTCCCTTTCTCATTCAGCCCACACTAACCAAACAGAACTAAGCATGATCTTTTATTCTTGCTAACACTGTACATTCCACGATCAAATTCTAACTAGATGGGTTTTCCCTAAAGTCCTCATGTGAGGACAAAAATAAGTATCACAGAACTCAATCTTTAAGGTGTTGTTGTTGTTAATATAATTGGTGTTGGGCTACTTAATGTTTCTTATTTGCCCTATAATTGTTACGGCAGTATTATTTAACCTACTATCACAAATAATAAGCCACAGACACCTGTTAAATTTTATAATTGCCTTATTTACCTTGGGCTAGGCAGATATTTCACTTACGCTGTCTCAATAACCTCACCATCTACCTTCCAGCCCACATCCAATGCCATCCGCCTTAACCATGCCTATCTGGGCTACCCTTCCATCCATAATCTTATAAATACTTGCTTTTATTCTTCATCTGGGCCTTTCCATGCCATTATTGGAGCCCTTCCTCTCAGTACATGTGGTTCCTTCTCCATGCTTAACCCATTTTGGTGTCCTCCTTCCTCCTCTCTCTCTCTGTCTCTCTCTCTCTCTATCCATCTCTCTTCCTCTTTCTCTCTCTTGATTCTCCTGAACCCAAAGCCCAAGAACCTTAGTCACACCTACCCCATCTTGCCATACCCAGGTTTTAGGCCTTTTAATCAACCAATCAGGTATAATGTTGTAGGCAGCTTTATACAACAAAGATAGGTGTATCCAGCCAGAAAACAGATCTTGAGGGCCAGTAATTAGCACCAAAATACAAGCATCAGGCCAACCCCCAAAAATAAGAAAAGTAGAAATCAAGTTTAAGGGGGAAGATGGGTTTTTTTTAAATTAGCTTATGCAAAAGAATAGAAAGATAGTCACAAAAACAAAATATAAGAAATCTTTACCTGCTGCCCTGTAAAGTATTTTAGGTTCAAAAAATATACATGGATTTTTATCTTCTATGCATGACAACAGAAGTCCCTTGGCCTGGAACGGGCTCCTGGGTATAACCACCTGTAAAAACAAACAATTTTAGTAAAATACATCCCCAGGAAGCCCACTTGTAAGGGTTGACACTTAACCAATCTCTGTAACTAATTCAACTAGAGAGCTGATATTTGTATTTATTATAAAATATTTACAGTGTCCCTCAGAAATCTTTGTTCATGTGTATTTCTATGATGTATTTCCACGCTCTGATAACCAAGATACTGATCCTCCTTTAAGGAAGAAAACCTGCAAAGCACATAAAAAGAAAGCAAAAGGCTGAGGAGCAGCACCTCAATGCTGAGACTCACAGCAAACATTGGGCAATGCAAAGGGAGTCTTGGGGAATAGTGGGAGGGGGAAAAGGACCTAAAAGTAACAGGAGTTCCACGAGAAAAAACACCAAAGCCAACTAATCAGGGCCTAGAGGGGTTTGCTGAGACTGAAGCATCAACCAAGGACCAAGCATGAACCGGACCTAGCCCCCCCCACAAAGATGTAGCAGATGGGAAGCTTAGGCTTCAAGTGGGTCCTCTAGAAAGGGAAGTGGGGACTACATTGGATACAACTCACTTGCCAGGCCACAGGAGGAGAGGACATGTTCAGTCCTGATGCAACTTGATGAGCTGGGGTGGACGGGAAAGGGAGCTCCCCTTTTCTGAGGAGGAAGAGGGGAAGGAGAGAGAGTAGAACTGGGAGGGGAAAAGGAAGGGGGCACAAAAAAAAAGTGAACAAATAAATGAGAAAAAAAATTTTAAATAATAAAAAGAAAGCAAAGAGAAGTGTCCATCTCTAAGCACCATCTCCTACTAACACACTGCTACCACTCCCCAATGTCAAGTGCCAAAATCCCCTTCACTCTGCCGGGCAAATGCAACCTGCATTTCAGAAGTGAAAAAGCAATTTACTGAATTCTGTGCCTGAGTTATTAAAGCATCCAGTTACACACAGAAGAGAAAAACATGACTACTCCGCATCTCCAGTGGACGGCAAGGGCTCCAAGATCTTCAAGAGGGAGCAGATGACGACGATTATTGACAGCAGGAAGAGTGCATGAGCTAACTCGGCAAAGCACTCTTGAGTGGGTCGTTTCGACTATCCTTCACAGAGACCTTAGGAAGTACCTACTAGTCTTGTTCTCACTTAGAAAGAGCCTGTATCATATAGAGGGGAAAAGACACTACCCAAGGTAACAGCACTTGCCAGATCAGAGATTCCTACCCTGTTTTAATGCAAACTGGCGATCACGGTCTTGACCAGGGTTCCTCAAATCACAAACTTGTTCCTGAGTTTCTTAACTGTGCAAGAACAGACTCTACTTTGAAAGAATCATTAGAATAAGCCTGAACCCACTACAAAGATCAAATAAGACTCCCTGAAGCAAATCCCCTCTGGGCGTCCAACTCACTATTTTGTTTTTTTGTTCTGTTTTGTTTTGCTTTGTGGAGCTGGGAATCAAATCCCTAGCTTGCACATACTAGGCAACTACTCCACAGACCAAGTACTCCTTGGTCTGGCTGAGAGAAAGCCATACTAGGTACACCAGGCTGGCCTCATACTCTTAATCTTACTGCTTTGAGAAATTGTTATTTTTATTGAAAGAATTTTGTTTAAAAATAAAATAGCATGAATTTCTCTATTATCCATATCACGCAATGCCTTTATACTTCTATTCTTTAGTGTCTCTTTGTAGCCATGGCTGTCTTGGAACTTAGAATTCACTCTGTAGACCAGACTGGCATTGAATTCATAGAGACCTGCATGCCCCTGCCTCCCAAATGCTGGGATTAAAGATGCTCACCACCACCATCCTGCCATAAAATGTATTTATTTTTATTTTATGTGCATGGGTATTTTGCCTATATATGTGTCTATGAATCACAAGTGTGCAGTGTCTATAGAGGACAGAAGCAGGTATCAGATCCCCTGGAACTTAAGTTACACAGATGGTTGTGAACCACCATGTAAGAACTGAGGATCTAACCAGGATCCCCTGCAGGAACAGACATTGTTGTTAACCACTAAGCCAACTTTCCAGGCCTTGCTTTCTTCATATAGTTGTTTTTATTAGTCCTTGATTGTTATTTATTATATTTTGTATTTCAAGTTTAAAAATAAGAAATATAAAACATAGCAGATTAAAAGTTCCATTGTATAAATTCCTAAGATAAACATTGAATATGACCAATATCCAGCTCAAACTCAAAAATGAGTGTTGCCTCAAAGTGGCTTTTGTCCCAAACAAGCACTTCTGGCTTGTATCAGAAAAGCATACAGCCTCCATTCGACTGAGACAAACATTATTAGGATCCAGCAGAAAATAAAATAATAATAATAAAACAGTAAGAAGAAAATGTAAACATTTTTACAACTGATTTGGGTTGTCAAAAACAAACATGCTTCTCTGGCTAAAACATTTGTGAGTTTCTCTGATTCCCTAGAAAGCTATTTGGTGAATAACAAGAGACAAAACACACAAAATATTTGTGATATCAAAAAGACTTAAAAGCTAGCTCAGGGTCGTGTTAAAAATGGGAGACCCTTCTAAGTAGACTGAGCAGGGCTGCTTTAATCTAGATTTTAAGATCCACCTCTAGATAATAGCCTTCTCTCCATCTGTTTAAAAACTGAAAACTGAGCAAAAAGCAAACATGACTTTGAGGTAAATATTGACTAAACAGTAGGCTTTATTAAAAGTACCCCCAAATCAGTTAAACAAGAAAAACCCACTAGAAAGAAGAAATTAGAGCTCTGAGAGGATACCATCCCCTTTAGAATCTATAACATTAATTAATGCCAACATCATGCAGGTGCTGCTTCAGGAGGAACATTCTGGAAAACTGTGCATTAGCAAGTTAATTTAAAAGGAAATGCTAATCTTTCTTTCTCAAATAGACTTAAGTTCCATCAATTCCAAAGTCCTTCTTGTCTTCCTTCAGGGAAGGGTGTTTGTGAATACTAAGTGAAAGGACTCTGGCTACCTTGAGCATGGAGAATATGGCCCTGGCAGGCCTTGCTCTTCTCCCTGATTCCCTCTGCCTTGCTAAAAATTCTCAGATTATATTCCTAAAGCTACCCCCACCCCCAGGTCTATTCCCTTATTTGGCCACTTCCTCCTCCTAAGGCTGACTACCAAGGTCCAGTAATCAAAAACCCCTGTTGGCTCACCTGATAAACATGTCTAATTAAAATTAATCACCTCATCCTGACACGGAGTTTCCCTCTTTACCTTTATAAACCTATGAGCCATGTCTCTCTCCTCTCTGTCCAGAGACAAGTCCTTTGTCCTCCTCCCTCTCCCTTGTTCCTTTCCCCCTGCTCCCTCTCTCTCTACCTCCTGTCTTTTGTCTCTTATTCCCTGCCCTCTGTCTCTCTGCCTCAAATAAATCTCCTTTTGTGCTCAGAACTTGGTTTTGGGGGACCTGATCACTTCTCTTAACACTAACAGCATGAACAAAAGCAGAAACAACAAATAATGATCCAATAAAAAAAAAAAAAAAGTAAACAAGGATACCTTGATTCCTGGGCAATGGGCAAAAAAAGCTTCAGGACTCTGAGAATGGTAGAGAGCCCCGTGGCCCACGCAGCCCCATGGCGCCCGGATGGTGAGGCTCCCACAGTTGAAAAGATCGCCAGAGCGGTAGCGATACTTGGCAGCCTCGTTGACAATCTGCGGAGAGAAGAAACATGCCACAGTGACTCTTTCCTGCCCAATGCATGTCCTAAAACCATGCCATTGGGTCTTTAACTCATCCACATCACAAAAACTAGAACGGCAAAGCACAAACACAAGACGACAGATGACAGGCACAGCAGGGATCGAGTGGGATGGGCTCGTGTTTGGACACTGGAGACTGTTGTAGGAGATGCCCTCCCCAGCAAAGCGGAAGGCAACCTACCTGATCAAAGGCAGGGAAAATATAGTCGGCAAACTGGATTTCCGCAATGGCCGTAGCACCGGTTACCGCGATTCCAATCCCAAACCCAACAATTCCTTGTTCACACAATGGGGTGTTAAACACTCTATCTTTCCCTTTAAAAAAAAAAAAAACATAAATAATACTAATAATAAATAATAACAATAATAGGAACAGAACTAGAACACAAACTTGCTGTAGCAAAGGTAAGCAATGCAGTGTACGATACATCTGAAAACTCGGTGGGATAGTGAAAGATGGGACAGAAGAAACAGTAAACAGCAGGATGACTGATTTCAGTACGTAACTGTATTAAACGGAGGACACCTAAATATACCAATTAAGGAAAAAAATGCCACTCTGAGATTTTTTTTTTTTTTTGAAAAGCAAAATCCAGCTATTTGAAGGGAAAATTGTACATAAAAAAAAACTACACAGTGACCAAACTCCCTGACCAAACGGAGGCTGACTTCACATTATCGGTAACAAGACAACAAGGGGCAAGGCACTGCCGGAGATGGTAAGGCAAAATTCTTAACCATTAAAGGGTTGAATCTACAAAGACTTAAGAATACATGGAACAATGCACCCCAAGCAGTTTGGAGTAACTGACACAAATGACAGGGGAAAAAAACCTCCAAAAAGGAAGGGGGGCTTTCAAAATACAGATACAACATGGTAAACACTGTGACTTAGCATATGCATGATGTCTCCTATACCCCGCACCGAGAACTAGACCTAATACTGACAGGAACAGATCAGCCACACCCTGGGCTACTGGACTATCTCAACGACTTGTTAAAGATTGCAATCAAGTTCAGCAAGTCTCAAAACAGAAAGATCTGCATGTGGGAAAGACACCTGTGGAGAACTGGAGGTAAGGGGTGGGAGAAGGCTGAGAGAAAGTGAGGGAAGGGCGGTCACAACGAAAAAAAAGAAAATCAGTAAGAATTATTTATAAAGACCATACTCTATGTTCTCTAGCCACGGTGGGATTGTATTAGATATCAGTAACAATCGTAAAATCTATAGGTGGGGCTGTAGATCTCAGTGTCGGCTCTCACCTAAAACACAGAGGGCCTTGGGCTCAAGTCCCAATATTCAAGAAAAAATAAAATATGGAGGGGAGGGAGCAAGAAAGTTGGCTAATTACTTTGTTACCATTTATTGTAAAATATCCCTTATAGGTTCGTGTGTTTGAACATCATCACACCATCCCACTACCCCGAACCCCCACCCCCACCCCCCGAACTAGTAGTCCTGTTTGGAAGGATGGGAAACCTTTAGGAGGTGCAGCCTTTCCGAAGGAAATATGTTACCAGTGACAACACAGCCTGTTCACTCTCTACTTGAGTTAAGATGCACTGTGACCAGCCACCTCCTACTCAGCCCCTGGCCCCCAGCTCCTGACACTATGCCTTCCCTGCCTGCTGTCACGTCTTCCTGTATGATAGACAGTACCACGGAGCTGTGAGCCAAAACAAAGCCTTTCTCCCTTAAGCTGCTTTATCAGGTTATTTTATCACAGCAACATAAAAGAAAAGAAAGGGAGAAAGAAGAAAAGATGCAGTGAAGTTTGTGTTAGATGGCTTACTAAATGTGTCACTTAATATTATAGCTCAAAAAAAGGAACAAATGGAAATTAGAATAAGTGTTTGAATGGAATAACTAAACTCTATATCTCAACTTACTGAACTACTGGAGATAACTGCAGAAGTGCTTTTTTCAAATTAACCCTCCTCTATTTATTAAATTCCAGGCAAAAAGTGATCAATTGGTAGAGGCATTGGAAAACTAAAAGTGGCATAAACTGAACACTTGAACCTTGAAAGAAGGAACACAGAGTTATAAAGTTTACCCAAAGGGACTCTCCACCCTATGTCAGAGACCACTAGACTCCAAGCAGGCAGACTATATTAAGGGGTGTCAAAGAACAGATTCTGAGGTGGAGAGGGCCAGTTAACTGAAAACCAAGAAAGTATATCTCATTTACACACAAACTGGTCAAGCACTGGTCACAGACATCTGCACAACACTCTAAAAAGAACTCAACAGAAAATAGCCTCTGAAAGTTAAAAGAGTTGGGCAGAAATTTCTCCTGTGCCGACTAAAGAGAACTTGAGAGTATGGAATTCCCTAGTCTCTTTAAGTTAGAGGAGCTTTGTGGAGTTTAAGGAAGACACTATTAAATGATGAATGGGTCCCCCAAAGGAGCCAAGAGGGAAATCCAAAATTTTTCTAGAACTGAATGAAAGGGAAGACACAACATATAAAAACCTATGGGATACAATTAAATCAGAAGAACAATCCTCAGGGGGAAGTCCCAGCTACAACTGCCTACTTAAAAAAAAAAAAAAATCAGAGAAATCTCAAATAACTAAATAATGCACCAGAGGGTGCTGGACAAGCAAAACAAGCCAAACCAAAAAATCAGTAGATGGGAAGTAAAAAATTAATAAAATGAGAGAGAGGGAAAAAAAGGAGTCAAAGAGAGTGAACTGGTTCTTTGAAAAAGACAAGTAAGATTTTCATATCCTTAGATAAACTAGTCAAAAGAAAACGGTATAAATTATGACAGATACCAGGGAAATTCAGAAAATCTTTATGGCAAACCTTAATATGGTCCATTAGCTGGACATGGTCACAGAGACCTTTAATACCATCATGCAGGAGGCAAAGGTAGGTGAATCTTTGTGAGCTCAAGAACAATGCCGTCTACACAGCAAGTCCAGGCCAGCTAGATCTATAAATTAAGACCTTGTCTAAAAAAAAATAAAACAAAAAATCATATCTTCTTAATTTAGAAAATCTAAAAGAAATGAATGAATCTCTAAATGCATGTGACCTCCCAAAATAATCCAAGATGACATCATTTGAATACATCCAATATGTCCGTAACAAGCAATGAGATTAAAACAGTTAAAAACCTCCAAATAAGACTGGGGAGATAGTTTAGTCAGTACAGTGGCTGTCCTACAAATGTGAGAACCTGAGTCAAATCCCCAAAACCCACATTAAAAACAAAAAAAAAAACAACTGGTTGCAGTGGTGCACACCTATAATCCCAGCACTCGGGGAGGCAGAACCAAGAGGACAGCCTGGTTTACAAATCAAGTCTAAGACAGCCAAGGTTATACAGAGAAACCCTGCCTTGAAAAACCAAAAAAAAAGAAGAAGAAGGAAGAAGAGGAGGAGAAGGAAGGAAGGAAGGAAGAGAGAGAGAGAGAGAGAGAGAGAGAGAGAGAAAGAAAGAAAGAAAGAAAGAAAGAAAGAAAGAAAGAAAGAAAGAAGCCAACCATGGGCCCTCCATTCCCTTGGGACTTGGTCTCTTGCTGTGGACCCAGGATCCCCTATTTCTTCCCTCCCACACCTTTTAGCCATTCCTTCTAGCCACCTCTATTTCTCTGTGAATTCCTCTGATCCACAGAAAGGCTCTCCACCAGGAACCCACAACTGCCACACTAAGGAACTCCGGCATGGTATATGCCAGCACACCTCCAAAACCCTAAGACTTGGCCTCTTGCTGCAGAATTAGGGTCACCCTAGCTTTTGACTGACCTCCTTTTCGGTCATTCTTTCCAGGCCATCTCCAGTCCTCTGTGACTCCTCACCAATCTACTGAACAAGGTCTCCACTAGGGACCTATAGCTACACACAGCTGAGATTCAGAACCACTCTTTACCAGGGAATCCACAGCCACCGCACTCAGCTAGGATGCATTCATTCCTTCTAGACTGCCTCCATTCTTCTGTGAGTCCACACCAACTCATGGAACTGCTCTCTACCAAGGACCCAAATTTGTCTAGGACCCAGATTAGGGTAGTAACAGACAAAGAACTGAACAATCTCTGCCCCCAACGTAGACAAGACCAGATATCTGTACTTATGAACGCCACAACCCTTGTAACTCCAGATGTGCCATCTCAGCTCAAACACACAAACATGAACAACCAAGACAAATTTTTGGCTTCCTCTAGAAGCCAAAAATCCTATTGCAGTAGGCCCTGAGAAAAGCAACTTAGCTGAAGCACAAGACAAGAGCTTCAAAATAGCAATTATGCTTATGTTCAAGGACCTTGAAGAGGATATAAATAAATGCTTCAATGAATATCATGAAAGCACAAACCATTGAATAAAAAAAAAAATTAAAACAATTCAAACATTAAGTGGAATTTAACAAAGAAACAGAATTTTTAAATAACAGAAATCCACATGGAAATAAAACTCAAAATGGAAAAAAAAAAAAAACCCTCAGGAGGTCAAATAAAAAGTTCAAAGGTAAGCCTCACCAACTGACTGAATAATGTAGAAGACAGAATTTCAGGTCTTAAAGACAAAAGAGAAGAAATGGGTGGCTCAGTCAAAGAAAACTTTGACAAAAAAAAAA